ACTCAGGATTTCCCAGATATAGAACTAGCCTGAATGCACTTCGACAGATTAATGGGTAGAGAAAATATCGTTTTATAAACAGTGAGGTATTATTCAGCCACGAAGAAGAATGAAAACATGCCATTTGCAGAAAAATGGATGGAGCTGGAAGACATCATGTTAAGCAAAATAAGCCAAACACAGGAGGACAGCTATTACATGTTTTATCCATATGTAGGAATATTGAAATCATATTTTTAAAACTTCATTGTTCATTGCCTTTACATAAGAGGGTTGGAACAAATCTTTCAAATGAAAGAAGTTCTTAAAACATTCTAAACATTTCCATCTTCTGCCTTGCAAGTCATCTTCTGTAGGTTTTATGAAGGATAAATATACTTATTTATTATGATTTAGACCTAAAGTGCCTCCCTTCCTATGCTAAAGTCTCCTGTGCTCATAGCTGGGGGTTTTAGGAGGTGATTGGGTTCTTAGGGGCACTATACTCATCAGTTTATGGAGGAGTTTATACCTGAATGTACTGTTAGGAGCATAGTATGGGCGTGTACATGGGCAGAACAAGTGGTCCCTGGGAATGTGACCTGGAAAGGTGTATTCTTGTCCCTGGCTCCACTCTTATCTGTGGTTCCTAGCCACCATGGACTGAGCAACATTCATCTGCCATGTTCTTTTTCCAAGCCATTTCTGCCCTAGAGCCAGCTGATCATGCATTGACTGAAACCATGACCCAAAATAAACCACTTCTAAGTTGTGGGTGTCAGGTGTTATGGCCTAGTGACTAATATATTTCAGGCCTACCTTTCACTGAAGTCTTTTTTCTTGTTTAGTAAAGGTTGATTTTCTAGCCAGGCAGAGTGGTAAACACCTTTTATCCCAGCAGTCTGGAAGGCTGAAACAGGAGGGTCATAAGTTCAAATCCAGCCTGGGGAACTTAGTAACTTAGTGAGAACCTGTTTCAAAATAACAAGATTTTCAAAAGAAGCTGGTATGGTAGCCTTGTATGAAGTACTGGGTTCAATCCCCGGTTGTACAAGAAGGAATCTTTTTTGTTGTTGTTGTTGCACAATTGCTGACTTTTTTATATCCAGGTGACATCATGAGACCAGAACAAGATCAAGCCTATTGTTATTTTAAGCATTTTATTTTATTTTTATTTTTTATCTTTTGGTACCAGGAGTTGAACACATGACCTTACACTTACCTGGTAGGCACTGTGCCAATGAGCTATGTTCCCAGCCCTATTTTAAGCATTTTAATGGGAGATAATTATTGAGAGTGTAAAGAGCACAAGAGGAGCAAATTGTGGCTGTGAATCAGTTTAATTTGGATTATTAAATTATAGATATTTGTGTGATCTCCTAAGAGAGCTAGTGAAGAGATAGCTAGATACTCGGGCTAAAGTTCAGAGACAAGGACTGACTAGACATGTACCGTTTAGATTCATCACTTTGCAGATACTATTTAAAGCCAAGAGAACATTGAGTTCACCCAGGGAGATGTTACTAAGCGGAAGGAGAGAAAGGTCTGCAGATCCCATTATTAAGTAATCAGGCAGTAAAACTAAGAAGGAAAGACTTAGAAGTGTGGAGTCAGGGAGCCCAATGAGAGTGAAGATTTACAGGAGGAGGACACGGTCTGCTACTGGAAATGGCACTGCGACCACTGTTCTCAAGTTGTTGCTGAAGTTGGTGAAAGATACATCACTGACATGGTGGAATGGCGATCCTTCAATAGCTAGAACATCTTGTCAACTAACCATAACATCATAGACATCGAACACTGGATAAACAAGGTATAAACTCAGTGCTGTCATCTTCCAAGGGATTCAGGGAGATAGGTGGGAGGTGTTGGGATTGAATCTGTATGCTTATGGTACTACAGCTGTTTCATTCTTTGTTACTGCAACAGAACTCAAAACTTCAGTGAACATAAATTTTTTTTCTTTTTTTAGTGAACATAAATTTCTAGGGTACTTGGGCATTCTTTGTTTTTCAAACAGCAAATCAATCTCAGGCTGAAGAGACAAATATAACTATAAAGTTAATCATATTTTATTAGTATGCAAAGCAAACTATTGTACTAGCACGTACCTTTACAGCAATTAGTATGTTCAAGGTCGCACACCAATTTCCATGTATTAAATAACATCCTAGTATTCCCACTTTGCAGATGAGTAAGTTAAGGCTTACGAAGTTCCACAATTTACTCTTGAGTGCCAGAGCCTCGATGCAAAACCATGACTTTTAACCGTGTTATGTTGCTAATTTGTCAACTAATAGAAATTGGCTAAAGATAGAATCACAGGTCTCTCTGAAAATTAGATCAATATTTTTAGTTCATTTATTTGAAATAGAATTTCTTTAACCTTTACCAATTGACATGAAATAAGAGCTAGGATAGCTTTGCAAAGTCATGTGAGGATTGGGAGAATATGCAGAAGAGGAAATTCAAAGAAACAAGGCATAAAATTAGCTATTTGATATTTAGTACCACACAGTTTTAATACTGTGATTGCCACTTCTAGCTATTCATCCAGAAATATCTAAAATCTTGAATTACTTGAATTAATTTTAAGATGTTGATTGTAGGGTATTTGGCACATGTAGAATACCAAAGATGGTGGCTCTAGTTTTTCTAAAAAGATTTAATTTTCCCACAGTTTAGTCACTGGTATGATTAATTCTTTTGTACTTGTCTACATTAAACTTCAAATGATTGTTAGCAAGTGGTGGATCATTTATTTGCACAATTAAAATTCTTGAATAGCTATTCTAATAATACCACAATTGTCAGATACTCTGAGGGAGACATATTTTTACTTGCAATTTATTTCCTTTTTATATACTTTACTACAATAAAATTAATTAAATGATGTTAAAGTTTTTTGTTACAGGGACTTTATTTATCAAAAATTTTTGTTGTAATGCCAGTAGAGTAAAAAGGCAACTATAGGAGGTAACACATCAGTGTTAAATACTGATGGCAATAGCAGGCTGAAGCAAAGTAGGCATTACCCCTACATCCACTTTTCTCTTTTTTTTTTTTTGGTTTTTCTCTGGTACCGGGAACTGAACTCACAACCTTGCACTTGCCAGGCAGGCGCTTTGCCGCTGAGCTAAATCCCCAGCCCCACTTTTCTCTTTAAATGAATGAAACATTACTTTTCACATGTTTAGTAAACACTCTAGAAGCAGTAATTATTTAAACCAGTACTAACATAGTTAAACTTATGTGACATCATTTAAGTAAAAAATAGATAAAATTAATATTCATAAGAGAACACAAATTGAGAAAAACAAAATTGTACTTATAAGTATGAATCATTATAGATGACACCAAAAGTGGGGCAACAAAAGAAAAATAAATAGAATGAACTACATAAAAGCAAAAAATCTTCTGTATATCAAAGTACACAGATGACAGAGTGAAAAGAAAATTTATGGAATAAGTGAAAATATTTGCAAATTATAGATTCATAAGGAGTTAATACCCAGAACATATAAAGAACATCTACAATTTAACTAATAACTGGATAAAAAAAATGCATAGTATTTGAGGAGATATTTGTCTAAAGAAATACAAATGGCCAATAAGAACATGAGAAATCCTCAACATCACTGTTATTAGGGAAATACACATCAAAACTGCAATGAGACACCATCTGCCCTCATTCGTATGGACTCTATCAAAAAGAAAGAAATAGCTCTTTGGGAGCAAATGGAGAAATTGGAAACTTTGTGCATTGTTGGTGGAAATATAAAATAGTGCAACTCTTCCGGAAAACAGTACAGTACTTCCTCAGGAAATTAAAAGTAGAATCAGAAATTTCCCTTCTAGGTATATAGCAAAAATAATTGAAAGTAAGGACTCACATCCATGTTCATAGCATCATTGCTCACAACGACCAAAAGATGGGAGCAGCTTAAATGTTTATAGATGGATGTGCCATCATACTTAACATTGATGTGTTACCTTCTGTAGTTGCCTCTTTACTCTACAGGTATTACAATAAAAAGTTCTGTAAAATGTATTTACATGCAATGGAGTATAATTTGGTCTTCAAAAAAATGAAAATGCTAAGACATGGATGAACTTGTAGATCACTATATTGATGTCAAAAATACAAAGACTGATTATACTTATTTGAGGTAACTAGAGTAGTCAAATTCATATAAGTAGAAACTAGAATAACTGCCAGTTGATAAGGGAAAAGGCAATGTGCCATGACCTGTGCAACTCACGATGCTCCTAGGGAAAAACGGTGAGGGGATTTAGAAAATACAGACAAGACATGAAATCTGAGGTTAGGTGAAGGCCTCTTTCCAGATGGGAGAATAGGAACTGCACAAAAACAGTAGGGACATTTATTTATACTTTTGACAAAGTTAGGATCAGGAGACACAGGGCTGCCTAGCAACTAATGACTGGAATTGTCTCAGGAAAGATGTTTTTCTCAGGACCAAAGTATTTTCCAACGTCAGCCGCTCCCTACAGCAACAGGAAACCATTGTTTAATGGGCACAGAATTTCAGGTTTGCAAGATGGAACAAGTTGTGGAGATGCGTGATGGTGATGGTTGCACAACAATGTGAATGTTCTTAATTCTAGTGAATTGTACACTTAGAAATGGTTCAAATATGTTTTATGCATATTTTCCTAAATTTTTTTAAAATAGAAAGTCACTGTAAGTAGAATGATTCTTAAATATTTAAAAGAGAAAATTTAAATTATAAGAGGCTGTGTTGATATTGACAATTAACTACAAAACAATCTGAAAATTTTTTCAAAGATATTTCCTAAAGATTAATGTATATATTGTTGCATTCTATGTAATTATATATACTGTATTATAATAGCATAGGTCCTATTGTTTAATTCACTACGATGCAAAAATGTAAAAATGCTTGGCTATGAAACTTTGCTGGACACGATAGAGAAAAACACAACAAATTCAGTCTGCTTGTTTTTTGTTTTCTGTTGCAGATCTGTGGCCACTTGTTCATGCGGTTTCAAGGCACCATGAGGCACAGTGGCTCTTGGAAACTTTGGCCTTGGGTGGCACTGCTCCTGCTTCCTGCTTCCATTTCTGTGACCGTCAGGGACAAGCCAGGTATCTAGGCCACCCCTTTGTCCAATTGCCAAGTGTTATTTATAGTCCTTAAATTACTTAAAGTAATCATTAAAACAAATTGTGCTAAGGTTGAAGAGGCTATGGATTATATCTACTGGTATAGAATAAATAAGAATTCATTGCTTCTCACTAATGTCCTTCACATAATTTTCATGGAAAACTTCTAAAAGTGACCTCATTTGTTCTGTGTGTTTTATATGTCTGACTAACCTTTCCTTTCACTATCACAAATACAAATGCATGTGTGTGTGTTTGTGTTTGCACATCTGTGATGTTATCTCTTTCCCTTTTAATAATTATTTGTTCAAATTATTAAGTACAGAAACTCACCACTAATGGGAGCTAATGAAGATGTATGTAATCTTAATTAGGGGAAAGAAAATAGAATAGGAAATGTAAAAAAATGTAGTTTAATTATTTGTCAGTTTTGTGGTATCTCACACAAGGCAAAAATGTTGAGGATCTTTTGAGTACCTTTTGAACTAAATATACAATATTTATTTGCCATTGTTAAATTTATGGATCTTCTTATAAATATCCCAAAGGGCTTAAAGGCCATTTGAAACATTTCTTTTTTTTTTTTTTTTTTTTTTTTTTTTTTTTTTTTTTGGTTTTTCTCCGGTACCGGGAACCGAACTCACGACCTTGCGCTTGCCAGGCAGGCGCTTTTGCCGCTGAGCTAAATCCCCAGCCCCTTGAAACATTTCTTTACATCTCTGATTTATAAAACTAATTACTGTATGTGATCACTTTGAAAGGCTGTTATTGAACAGTGAGTATGTATAGATTACTGACCTAGATGTACTTCATATTACAAAGTTGAGTTAAGCAGACTGAAGAAATCATCTGCTAAGGAAAAGAAAACTTAAATTCTCCTATGAAAATAATCAGAAATAGTGTATTCTGATAGTGGTTACATATAATGATGCATCCTGAGTTTGAGTCTTATTGTATTTATTCTTTTAAATATTTTTTAGTAATTGTAACATATAGTTACTTTGCTAGACACAAGTTTGAGGACGCATAAAATGAAGTCACTTATAAAGTTATAACAAATCTTAGTCTTTCCAAGTTTCATGTCTCTAAGATTTTACACTAATATAGCAGGAGATTCACTTCTTAAAATACTCCATGTGGTTTTTTTTTTTTTTTTTTTTCTCGGTACCAGGAATCGAACTCACGACCTTGCGCTTGCCAGGCAGGCACTGTGCTAAATCCCCAGCCCCTCTCCATGTGAAAGTATAATTCTATTACTGTATAAATGATATCCTGTGGATGTGATACAACCCTGGGTCGGGGGAAACACTTTATTTGTTGAGAAATAAATCAGCAGAGACCATAACAACTATGGCTATGGTAGAAAACAAATACATAGGGTAGGGAAGTTTATTCTGATAATGTTGCTACTCTTCTAAATTTATGTCTCTTTAAGGAGCACTAAGTAACATGCTTTGCAATTTGAATAGGAGGACTGACTTCTTCATTAGAAAGGAGAGTGATTCTTTGGATGAGTGGGACACAGGTTTTTGGCACATGCTATTGTGTGATCAAGGTTCTGGATGATAACAGTGATTTAAAGGCTCTACATAAATGCTTCTCCGCTTTTACTTAGAGCAGGATTCACCTGAAATATTGATTCCTGAGTGACACTCTCAGAGAGTCCCATTATGTGGGTCAGACTGGGTGGGATTTAGTCTCCTACATCTTTAACAAGCTTCCCAGGTGGACTTAATGCAGTACGTCTGAGGGAAGCTCCTGGAGAAGCACTCATCTTTGAGATAATTAACTGACATTTCATTTCTCTTTCTGCCTTAACTGGTTATCTTGCATTTTGTGCCACTAGGTTCCTTTTATTTTATCTTTGTTATTTTATTTTACTTTTTACCTTTAGTAATTTTTTTTAATTGGGGAAAAATACTTTACGTGGCATCTGTCCTCATGACACATTTTTTGATGTACAGATAGAGTACTATTAACCACAGGTATAATGATTACAGCATCTCTTTAGCCTAATCATCTCAAGTAACTGAACTTCCCCACCTTGGAATCCCCCTAAATGTTTTGCTCTTGCTGCTTTAGTTTCTACTATCTTGGTTCCTTAATCAGTTTATATTGTACAAAGGAACACAAAAATGCATATTTTCTGGTATTTCCTTTGAGAGATTTCCCTATGAACATGCATTTATAATTAATCTGAATTTTAACAAGATTCGTGCAACATGCGGGACTACAGGAAATTGATGAGAGATACTACATGAGCTGCTTTTTACCATGCCATTTGGTAGAAGGTGCTCATGAAGCAATACATACGGAACATGCCATGGAAATCGCTTCAGTTCAGGTACCACTGGCATTAATTGAAAATGTCAGCACAACATTGTCAAAGGGATTATTGGCGTGTATGACATGCTGGGCACGGCCTGGTGGGGGCTCTTCTTGTGTCTCCGGTCTTGTGTGTCTGATTCACAGTGCAAGTTTCCCTTTTTAGTTTCCTCTGTGCAGACCTGTGCGTGTGGTCACTAACCATTTTCCGGAGGGAGGTGATTACATCTAAAAATAAAATATAACAAATCTGAGGGAGAGGCTAGGGTTTCAGCTTTAGAGCCTGTGAAGTTGTCAACAGTTTACTGTTAAATCTAAATATATGAAGGATAAGTTGAGTCTTTTAATTGCTTTACTTTATGGTATGTTTAACGATTATCTGGAATAGTGTCCCAGATGGGACAGAATTCAAGAATAAAAAGAGAAGATTCAATAACAACTTCAATTTTAAACCCTTGGATGCATAAAAAAGACAGTCATTTCATATTCTTTTATTAATTTTACTATTCTATTGACCTTACGGAATAATGTCAAAATATTTGTATATTTTGATAGTACTGATGAATTTGAGTGTCATAGTTTCATTTCAGTTACTTGTCAAAGGAAAGTGGGTGTAAGAATTGTATTAAAATATATATACTCCCAGGTAATCTTAAAACTTGCTGTAATTAGTTGCTTAAAATGGTTTTCTCTATAATAGACACCTGTGTATCAATTAATTAGTTTCTTCCTTTTTTCTTGTGTTTTAAGACATACGTATTAAATGATCCTAAGAAAGTAATAACCAAAAACCAGAAGTTAAAGAAAACAGGCTAACCAGCGATGACTGAACACTGTGTAAATAAAACATTTTTAGCTCCTAGCTTATACTTCCTGTAAAGTGTCTAATGGAATGGATTATAAACATAGATAGAGAGTTATACACAAAATCTCTACTAAAATAGTTTTCTACTAATTTCCACAGAAAGCTGGTCTTCTGAAAAATGGCTTTTGCTAGTTGATAGACACTTTACTGTTAAAATAGAGCACAAGTATGCTACCATATAGAGAATTTTCTTTGATTATTTTAAGAAGTCCTAGAGTTCAACATACACAGTACCATGTGAAAATCTTAGACTTGACAACCGTACTTTGTAACTCCTAAATTTGGAAAGTGAAAGGAAGCATCACAATGATAAAGAATATAGTTCCTTGTGTAGCTTCTAGCCATGTATTTTCTTTTGGAGGAATAGTTTTGGATCAAACATAAACAGTGAAGGTGTTTTTGTGACCCAATGTGTGACTTTTCTGAAAATAGCTGTTCCCATTTTTTCTTGCTTGGGCACCTTTTCATATTACCTTTGTTATATTCCAGTCCAGTGCACTTTGCCTATTTTTTGTAAATCATTGTTTTTCTCTCAACCTAAGTTACTAGATACTCTTTTGTGAGATGTGTTGGCAAAGTCTGAAATGCACAGGAATCCTTGAGGGCAACTACTAGCAATGAAATAAAGAGACCCAATTTCCCTTCCATTCAATGAGAAGTCAAATTTAGCCTTTAAAAAAGGCAAAATACCTAAAGGCTATTGTCCATCCATTTACAAAAGGCAAACAAAGCTGTTCTCTATATGTAGTAGGCTGCTGCCCTTTGCTTTCCCCACCTGTAGTCTGGACCGTTGTCATGACAGGTTTGGCCATGATAGGTATGCTATGAACTTTGTCCGTATAGGGAAATGAAACACTCTACCTCAAAGCCGGTGAAAGAAGATAGATAAATAGAACTTCTATCAAACTAGCCAGATTTTAATTGTGATTTTACAGTTAATAACTGCATATGTGTTTCTGGGGATGTGAAAAAATGGAGAAATATTTTTTTTAAAAGGGAAGAGAAATGTTGCAATTACTCTATCCAAGGGATAGTCCTTGCTTTCTTCTGCAGTACTCCTGCCGTAGGCTGATTCATATGATTTTTGTGTCAGTCATTCCCAAATTTACCTCTGTCTTGAGTTCCATATATTTATTTTTTGATAAAGAATTTCTAATTAGCATAAAATATTTGTACCTGTTTATGGAGCGGTGTGATAATTCACTACATACTCATATATACTGTATGAGGTGTAATAAGCCACTTTAAAGTAATTAGAATTTCCCTCTCCTTAGATATTTATTATTTCTCTATACTGGAAACCTATGAACTCCTACTTTCTAGCTCATTATAAAATTTAGGATAAACTGTTGTGAAATACAGTCACACTAGTTATGCTGCAGAACAATAAGATTTATTTCTCCTGGGGCTAAGGGTGTATGTAACCCAGTGGTAAAATATTTACTTAGCATGTGTGAGGCCCTGGGCTTAATCTTGAGCACCTCAAAAAACAAAGGAACTTGTTCCCCTTTGTAATAGTATTTTGGTACCCAGTATTCAAGCTCCCTCCAGCCTCCTTCTGTTCTATTTTTCCTAGCATCTACTGACCATTCTTCCACTCTTTACTTCAATGAAATCAACTTTTAAAAAAATACTTTTACATATGAGCCAGAAAATGGACTATTTTTCTTCCTGAATTTGGCCTATTCTACTTAACATGATGTCCTTCAGTTCCACCCATGTTGCCACCAACAGCAGGATTCCATCTTCTTTATGTTTGAATGATATGTAGGTACCACATTTTCCTTTTCTG